CTGAGGAAGGGTCACCAGACCCGAAACGTTAACTCTGTTTTCTCCTCCACAGATGCTGCCAGACCTGCTGAGCTTTTCCAGCAAATGTGTTTTTGTAAACGCAGAATTCACCAGTTTCAAAATCTCTCCACCCCTAGCCTCATCCTACGTCCAACCCTCCCTCTCATCCCCACCTCCTTGATCTGACACTACCTGTCCATCATCTTTCCCACCTCTCCACCCCCCACTTCCCACTTACCAATACCCACTTATCACCATCCCACCTACCTTCCCCCAGCCACATTCCTCCTCACTCTCTATTTATTTCCCAGCTCCCTTCCCCCTCCCCAGTCCTGATGAAGGGTGTAAACCCAAAACACCAACTTAGATGGTTCTTGATCTGGACTTCACTGATTCAGTTTTGAACTTAAAGTTCACATTGAGAACACCACTACAAAGGGACATTTTCTTTGATCAACAGCCAAAATCTCTACCATTCTTTCTTCTTACTGCCACTATCTTTAACCGGTGCAATTTCTTCACCTCCTTTCCTTACTTTGTAGGCATATTATATTCTGCAATAATTAAGTGCCAATCTATTCCCCATGTTGCCACATCTAAGTTATTCCTAGTATATCCACATCATTCAAAAATTATTCATATTGTGTTGTATATGCTGAGCATGGTGTACGATTTTAATTTCTCTCTCAATTTTAGTAGTTATTTTACTTTATTATCCTATGACCATATCCAGTCTCTGGTCATTCGAGCTATCCTTATTCCTTCCTTTACTCCCTTTACTTGGTGCTTTTATTATTAGGTTTCTGTCATTTCTAGCAGCTCCTCCCCAATATTATTAGATTAAGTTCTTGCTTATAGTCCTAGTTATCCTTCCCACTTGGACTTTGGTCCCAGCCTTGAGGAGTAGCTCATTCAAATTGTACAGCTTTGGAGGGTCGGTGCAAACTCAACATTACAGAGATTCTATGACTCCTGTACCAGTTGCCAAAATCCCACAAAAATGGAACACCTTCTACCCACAGCATACTTTAACTAACGCTGACTTTTTAAATTAGTTTGTGTACAACACAGACACAAGTCCAGTATTACTCCCTTTCTGATGAAGGGTCTAGGCCCGAAACGTCAGCCTCTCTGCTCCTATGATGCTGCTTGGCCTGCTGTGTTCATCCAGCCCTGCACCTTGTTGTCTCTTTACTCCAGTGATTACCTGTTTTCAATTAACCTCCCAAATCCCGATACACCCAGAACAGGAACAAAAACAAAGTTGCTGGAAGAGCTCAGCAGGTCTGGCAGCATCTGTGGAGGAGAAAACAGAGTTAACGTTTCGCGTCCGGTGACCCTTCCTCAGAACCGCAACAGCATCGCAACACACTGGCTCAGGGCTGCACCACTCCGCAGTTCCACTTCATCCTCCGGCTCATTTGTCGTGCTAACAAGAAACTTTTTCTTTTCCTTTCAGGCATCAAGGCCCACAAGATGCACCAACTCAAAAATACCCATGGCCCTCTGGAACCTACCTCTCCTCCCCTTCCCTATGAATCGATCCCCTCCCCCAACCTCCTGTCGGGTATTCACCATCCCCCCTAACCTTCCGTTCTCCGATGCTGAACGCTCTGTACTCAGCAAAGGCCTCAGCTTTATCCCTCTGCGTCCCTTACAGCATCCGCAATTCTTTTGGTTTTTACACCCAGAACAGGACCTCTTTAGTCTCTGTAATGCTGTCAGTGTTGCATCGAGTATGTCAATTGCATCCTCCCACTCCTGAATGCATTTTACCTAAACATCTAAAACAATTTGCATTTATATAATTGCTTTTATATAATAACAACACAAAGCACTTCACAGGAACATAAAACAAAATTTTGAACGAGGGAGATATTAAAACAGATGACCAAAAGAAGCACATTTTAAACAGAATCATGGGAGGAAAGGCAGATAAGAGTTGAGAGAGAATTTGGACGTTGGGACCTAGGCAGTTGAAAGCAAGCCATGATTCAATGGAGTGAATAAAATCAGAGATGGTCAAGAGGCTGGAATTAGAAAGCTTACTTATTCATCAATGGTTCTTGAATGCCACCAGCCTGCATTATTACCATTCCTCCTTACCTCAAGAAATTGGTGAGCCACTGCAATCCCTGGTGTCAGTACATTTCATTCATGTTCAGCTCTCTTGCCCATGCTTGAACACGGGCTGTAAAATGACCTGGAGCTGCACAGCCCTGGCAGAGCTCAAACTGAGCTCCAATCAACAGGTTACTACTCTGTAAAGGTCACTTGATAATACTGTCAGTCATCAACACCATCAATTACCTGATGCCGACTGAAAGTAGGTTGATGAGGCACTAATTGTTCAGATTGAATTTGTCCTGCGCTTTACAGGCAGGATATGCCTGGGCAATTTTCTACAACTTCAGAGAAACGCCAGTGCTATTTCTACTCTAGAACAGTTTGGCAACAGCTGTGTGCGTGCATTAGAGGTAGTCAGAGGTACTTTGGGATTTCAAGCCTTCAATATATTGTCAAGCCCCACGGTCTTTGCTGCATCCAATGCATTCTGCATTTATTTGATGTCACACAAGGGCAATTACAAATCTGTGATTTGGAGACCTCAGGAAAGCCGAAGGGGAATCATCCATTCAGCACTTCTGGCTGTAAATTTTGGAAATGCTTCAGCCTTGTCTTCACATTGGTTCCCCAATCATTGATGATAGTGATATTTAGGGAATGTTTTCCTCCTGTTAATTGTTTAATAGTCCACCAACATTTGAGAGATGATGTTATCAGGACTTCAGATCTTAGATCGGATCCACTGGTTGTGGGATTGCTTACTCTGCCTATAGCATACCACTTGTACTGCTTAGCAAGCGTGTAGTCCTGTGTAGTAGTTTTACCAGATTGGCACCTCATTTTTAGGTATACTTAAAAATGCACCTGGCATCCTATTCTGCATTCCTCATTGAAACAAGGTTAGCATCGTACTCTAGTTAGATGGTAGAGTAAGGGATGTGCCAGGCCATGAAGTTATAGTTTGCAGTGAAATACAATTTTGTTGCTGATTGCCCATAGCAGCTGATGGGTTTCCAGTTTAGAGCTGTTAAATTTGCTATAAATCTACTGAATTTAGAATAATGGTATCTCATTGTGGCACCACCAACAGAACAACTACAGAAATATATTTCATCTAATTTTCAACTAAAATCATTGAAATCTGTGGCAAGGTAGGTGGATGGGATCCTATTATTTGCCCAGTTGACTAACTTCTTTCATGGTCTCAATGAAAAATATTTTCTCGCAATACCACACACGTTTTGAGAATACTTAGAATGTCTTTTTTCCACCATTCAATAGTCACCTCTTGGTAGATTACAGGCATGTTTTCTTCCTGCTGTTTATTTATTGGAATGCCCTAACACTGCAAACACTGGAAATTTGAGCTGGCAGGAGGGCATTCCATGAATGGAGCTTGCCCAACTTTGTTTTCAATGGTTAGGGAAGAGAGTAGGCTCTCTTAAAAAGGTTGCCAAAAGCATTGTTACTCCCACTCCTACAAAAAAATCCTCCAAATCTACTCCTCACAGTGCAGAAGCCTGGTACAGTTGCAAAGAAATTGAGGGTGCAGAGATGCTTCAGTGTGATTTGAACAAATTGAATGAATTGGTAAATAAATGTGTGGTTATCCACTTCAACAAAAACAGGATGGCAGATTATTATCAGAATGGCAATAGATTGGGAAAAGGGGAGTTGCAGTGAGACCTGGGTGTCTTTGTACACCAGTCGCTGAAAGTTAACATGCAGGTGCAGCAGGTGGCGAAGGTGGCATGTGGTTTGTTGGCCTTCATAACAAGAAGGTTTGAATATAGGAGCTGGGATGTCTTGCTGCACCCATACAGAGCACTGGTAGACCACACCTAGAGTAGTGTATGCAGTTTTGGTCTGCTTATCTGAAGAAGAATGGTCTGGCTATGGAGGGTGTGCTAAGACTTAGCAGCCCAATTCCTGAGATGGCAGGACTGATGTATGAAAAGAGACTGGTCTGTTTAGGACTATATTCACTGGAGTTTAGAAGAATATTGGGAGTGGGGGGTGGGATTTCACAGAAACTTAAATTCCAACAGGACTGGGCAGGGTAAACATAGGAAGTAAGTTCTCAATGACCAGGGGTCACAGTCCAAGGACAAGAAAATGGAGTTGAGATAACATCAGTCATTATGGTATCAAATGGCAGAGCAGACTTGAGGGGCTGAATTGCCTACTCTTAGTTCTTATGATATGGGGTAAGTAATTTAGAATTGAGATAAAGTGAAATATCTTCATCCAGAGTGTGATGAACTATGGAACTCTCTGCCCAAGAAAGCAATTGAAGCCAAAATATTGAATGTTTTCAAGGAGGAGTTAGATACAGCACTTAAGGAACAAAGGGTCTTGGGCAAAAGTAGTTGGATAATCAGCCATGATCATGTTGAATGGCAGAGCAGGCTCAAAGGGCTAAATGGCTTACTAATACTCCTATTTTCTATGCTTCTAATTGTAAAGATGCAAATATGGCTAAAAGGTGCAGGCACAGTAGTTGAAATGGAAAAAGCTAAAAACACAATTGGGGGTCCAGCTAAATCTGAGGATACAGTTGCTGTTAAAGCTGCAAGTACAGTTATGGATACAGGTAAAGTTGCAGAAACACGTGTAAGTGCAGACACAGGTAAAGCTGCGGACACAGGTAAAGCTGCGGACACAGGTAA